GCTAACTTTTTTAACTCGGGCGCGCGTATGTGGACCTGGAAGCGCTTCAAGCCATCTTTCCTGAGGTATTACGGTACCATAGCACTTCCAGAGGTATTAGGTCCCATAGCACTGACTATTACCCTACTTTTTTGAATATATGGGCGCACCCTTGTATGGAGGCGCGCCTTCACCTCAAAGCCCATTTTCTGAGTGTTCGTGTCTATGTGAGTTATTTATTTCTAGTGGAAAGTATTTTGATGACAATAAGAAGAACAGAGACTCATAAAATGCTAAAAAAAGGAGTATGTGGCAAGAAGAATCGTAATTCGCCGCACCAGGGGCGTCGCGTGTGACATCGGCGCCATTGCCGCGCGCGACGAAGCGATAATTTACGATTCTCTTGCCGGTCTCCCATAAAAAAGCTGTTGCTGATGCTTTGATAAAGCCCTTCCTCGCATTCGTCGCGCCCATGCTAATTTAGACTCATCATGTCTCGGAAAACGTAAACGGAAAGATACCTGAACAGTTGAATTCCTAGTGCGTGTAGTCCTTTATAAGAGCGAGTAACAGCTTCAGTTCCAAGCCACATTTCGCAAAATTAGGTCGTACTTTGTGATGCCAAGGTTGATTTTTCAACCCCCCCCCCACACCCCCGGTGACTTGAGGAAAAACCACCGGGAAAGTCGTTGATGACGCTCTTTTAGAGGCAGTTGGTTTTGACAACTGGGCGAGGATATGAGAAAGAGTGAGGCGATGAGAGAAGTCGAGAGGCCAGAGAATATGGATGAAAGAAAAGAAAGAGGAACGAGACAGCCGACATCTAGACATTTCTCACAAGCGGCTATCGTGGAACCACAACCATGGTCTCTTCATGAGCTTGTAGCCTACTGGCTGCACACTTCGGCCCCTAGGAAAAGGGCGCAGTATCTAGGCTCGTGAACCGTGGTACCTCACACAAGATACTGCTTTGAGTTACTCAATTGCGAAATGTGTCTGAGTGAGGACAACACTGACACTGCCCTTGCCTGCATTTTGCTTCTGCAAGGTTTCATGCAGGAATGAAACAAAAGGTGGGTCATTCTTCAAACTAATCCGTCAACTTGAGTAAACTTTTCTTTCCCATTTCATTAGTGCAGCCGATAATTTTAACGCAATTAATCGTTTCATGCGTGTTGGTCAGCGGCGAAAAGTAACCTTCAGTGTTTTCAGCGTTCTCGTGACCTAGAATACTCGATTTCGTTGGTAGCGCGTTGACCCATTTCATTTGCTATAAATGAAATTGCGGAAATTAGAACATCTGAACCTGATCGCGTCTCTTTCAACTCGACTTTGTGTGGTATCATTAAGATTCCACTTATGGGAGAAACACCTGTAGTGGTTTTTCTTTGTATTTCGTATAGCCGATTTCTCTTTCACAATCCTGTTCATTTTTGCTTTAAATTGAACATTCCAGCTTGATCCACCTTTCACTTTCATAAGCATCAATGCAACCAAAGCAAAAAGTTATCTTTTTGAAAACTTACACAAAAAACAAGCAAGCACCCCAAGTCACGCGGAGCAGCACTATTTGGAGCGAGTCGATGCATCCAGACCATTGTACAGACCCCCTACCCTTCCACAAACCCCGCATGGCTCATGCGTATTATGCCAGGGCTGTTATGAACTATTATGAATCTCTTCTACTATTTTTTGAGCTTCTATCCCAAGCACGATGCATACATAATAGACATTAATTTCACTCAAGATGGCTAGACAACTCTCAAAGATACCTTTCGAATTTTTTTCAGAGCTTGGAATTTGGGAGCTTCTTAATAACTTCAAGCATTCCTATAAACTCTCGTGGAATTTTTATGTGACTATTTGAATTTGTTTTATTGCTGCTTTTTCGAAATTTATGCACTACTCAAACTACAAAGTAGTTTCAGCGGCGTTTGTGGAAGGGAAGGGGGTCTGTAGAATGGTCCGGATGCATTGGCTCGCTGTAAAAAGTGCTGCTCTGCGTGCTTAGGCGAGTGAGGTATGGATTTGCACGGAATGGTCTGATCTTAGTGGGATTCGAGACAGTTTCCTTTGATGGACACTATCCTTCATATCTTTCCTCATTCTCAGTCCTCGTACCTTTTTCTTACTCGAGAAACGGTTGGGCCAAGGAAAGAATCCCAACTCCATGAGGATAGTTACTGATGGTCCCTGAAGTACGGTAGGCTTGGCTGGGCAATGTGGTGGCGGCCAAGGATTTCGTGATATATTGTCATTTTAAGACAGTTCTAGTCATGTCTCTGTTCTACAATGAACAAAATGACAGTTGTCTCAAATTGAAATATCTCACAAAACCCATTCTATGCCACGCCTGCTCTGTCTCAGGGATAAGGAGTGTACTATGTGGCATGAGCTAGTGGTCCTGTTTTTATGTGCTTAACACGAATTTGCTCCTTTGATCCGGAGGACGGTTAGTAGAAGATGTTAATGTAGACATGGTGGTTTTAACATTTCTTGCAACATGTCACAGCACGAACTAATCATATATGGATGAGGATGGCTCAGCAATGCGCTTACTGGTTAAAGATTCAGCCATTATGACATTTGACCTCCTCCCCCCAGCATTTTCGTTTTCTTCCGTAAGATTTTTCTAGCAGCTACTCGGTTATGGCTAATCCGTGGCTACTCTGAAGATTGCCATCTGGCGTAGTGATGCACTCTCTTCACGTCTGAATTTTGTGAGCTTTCAGCTATGAGCTGTTATCTGGGCTGTCCTCGGACAGTCTCCTTAGACTAAACCTAGATAGACGCCGCGCTGATCGCGGAAAATAAAGAAAAAAAATGGATTGAATTTGTTCACTTAAGAGAGTGAGGTCGTTCGGGCTCAAACGATGTACCACGGCCGCCACTTTCCTTTCAGCTTTGACCCCTGAAAATAATGCTCTCAAAAACTCAAGTAAAGGGACTTAAAGTCCTCTGCATGGCCGTATCACCTCGCTGAGAGCAGACTTCTCCCTTCCATATGTGGTTATAATAATTTCAAGGGAATCTTTCAATTTCATTTCACAAAGCGTTGCTCAACGCGATGCCGACGATGTTCGAGAGTTTGTCGAAGGGTCTCAGGTAACAACTAACGCGCGCAATTTCACTTTCGACAATTACAAACGAGATGACATCAACGCGACAAATGGGAAATCTCAGTAGAGTGACGATGAATTGACCATGTTGATTACTAGATAAAGGCGAATCGTAAGAAAACGACGAAGATGCTAACGAGAGTCTGACGTCAGTTCTGGCGTCAATGCACGCAAGCCTAAGTCAGACCATTCGTGCACGCTTGGGCTGTCCCTTATTGGAGTGACGTGCTGCTATGTAATTCTGACATGTTGAAAGCCGTGTGAAAACCTTCATAGCGCCGTTCAGGGGGTTACAAATTTGAGAAACAGGTTCGGAACTAGCTTCCGAGAAGGATACTTGTCGTTTGTGTCTCAACTTAAAGACACATAGTACGCTCACACCCATTGAGGGTGTATGTGACTAGCAGCCCCCCAGCTGTCGAAGCATAGCGGCTTTCCCCGTTCAAAACATGCGGCAGGAATGGAGAAACAGCATCGTAAAACACGATAGTTCGTCCATGCTCCGCCCAATGCCTTTTGCGACACAGATTCCCGTCCTTCATAACATCCGTCGTAAGCGCGGTTGTCGCGTGCGGCTCCTTGGCACTTTGCCAAGCCTTTAATAGCACTTTCAAATACAAGTAAAACGTTAATTTCCTGATGCGGATAACATTGGAGGTGCTGCAAAATAAGAACAGAAGATGATGACGAGGGTCAGAACTTTAAAGCAACTTTTCCCACTTCTGCAACATCCCTCGGAGGCCGCGTATGTCCACGAAACATGAAAATTAAAAACGGCATACTCGTTAGTCTAATACAAGCAAAACACAATTTCCTGATGCGAATAATTTTAGGTGTTGCTCATACTTCAAAATCCATGTACAAGGAGATGAAGATGACACAGGCTAGAAATGAAGCACAACGATGTAAATGTAAATAAAACAAAAATGAAACAATCAAGGAAAGGCAAATTAGTTTGAAATCGCCTGTAAATTTCTAGGATCCGGTGCGAATCCGGCGCCAAAGCCATAGAAATACTTAGCGCAAACGAGTGGACGCGGGCTGCATTTATTCTCATGTTTTGTGGGAATGCGCGGCCTCTGATGGATACTGCAGATGCAGCCGAGTTGCTCTTGAGTTCTGGCCCTCGTCATCATCTTCTGTTCTTATTTTGCAGCACCTCCAATGTTATCCGCATCAGGAAATTGCGCTTTGCTTGTATTTGAGAGCGGAATCAAGTGCCAAGGAGCCGCACGCGACACGCGCGCTTACGACGGATGTTATGAAGGACGGGAATGTGCGCCGCAAAAAGGTATAAGGCGGAGCATGGAGGAATTAGCGTGTTTCACGGTGCTGTATCTCCATTCTTGGGCATGTTTGGGCGGGGGGACCACGACACATCGACAGCTGGGGGGCTGATAGTCTCATACACCCTCAGTGTGCTTGAGCGTACCATGTGTCTTTAAAGGCATAAGGCTCGATAATGTGATACAAAAGTGGTAGCAGGGGTGCTATGTAGTGAGAAACGACAAAATACGAACTTTAACGGCTCAAAACGTGCGAAAAAGCTTTGTTCTGCACGCATTGGACGAGCATTTCTGGACGAGTTTCCTGTTGGCATCGTGCCAGCTACTGCTACCAGATACGGCTGCACGTTTATATGTATCCATATATCCATAAAGCAACACTTTACATCAATCATACTTCACGAACGATATCAGCGTCGATGTGATTGTGCGGAAATTTGTGGGCGTGGGGTTGCGGTGGGCGTCTCGGTCGGCATCTTGTTTAGGCGCTACAAAGTTGTTCTTAGTTGGAAAAAGCGCCGTGCAAGGAGTACATTGTTGTTTCGTGCTAGGCGTATCGACCCTGTACGTCATGTCGACTCATCGTGCCACTCGCATTTAAAGGTCCATTTCAGGCATGAGTGTCGGCTCCCATCAGTTATACCATCGAATTGGGATAATTTCCATGGTATTGTCCATTCTGTCCATTGCCTTATTGACCATTTCTATTCCACTCATCTATGTGAGGACTGATCATCAACGTCAAGGGCTCAGCGAGCATGCTGCTCGATTCAGGGTGAGAAATGAGTTTTGCTCTTTTCGATTTCATTATTGTGCTTGAAAATACTATTAAAGCAATCGTCGGACGCAATATGGAGCGAGATGTTTGAAATCCGTGAAGCCTTCAGTCCACAAATACGATTATTCTCACGGCGACCTCGAAAGGCATGGCTCGACAGCGGTCTTTGTAAAGGTACATTCACCAAGCTTTCATGGCTCACAGTCCTATAACCTGTGAAATTTTACTTTCCCTCACCCGCAGGAATTTGTGATCATCTGGACGAGCTCCTCCTTAGAGTTTTTAGAACATAATGCCCTCTTGCATTAAAAACGGGGACAAGTGGTCAGAACCCATAACTTTCCAACTTCGAAGTTTCTTTTCAGGATGCTTCACATTGGCGTGCGCTATGGGGCCACCTGGGCCGCCAGGACCACCTGGACCAGATGGCTCCCCGGGCGAACCTGGCGCGCAAGGTCTTGCAGGACAGGATGGCTTTGACGTACAGCTTGAGTCGGAGCCTGACCTACCGTGTGTTGTTTGCCCAGCTGGTCCTCCAGGATTAAGGTATTCTAGAAATTACATCAAAGAGTCCAGTTTGGTCATCAGTATTGTCTAGAGGACCGCAAGGAGAACGAGGAATGGCTGGCCATCCAGGTAATCCAGGGCAGCCTGGACCAGACGGCAGCAGCGGAGTGGATGGCCCGCCAGGTGTACCGGGACATGCGGGACCGAATGGAGAAAATGTGAACTCAGTTTTCAAGCTTTCCATTGCCTCGTCATCTGGAATATAACAAACATTTCAGGGGCCGATGGGACCAAAAGGTCCTGAAGGAGATCAAGCGATAGCTGGGGTTGGCATCAAGGGACCAATTGGTCCACCTGGTCCACAGGGAATGAAAGGGAGGCCAGGACCTCACGGTATGTGCCGAGCCTTCCCCATTCGATCGTACTTGTCTGCATGAAACTGTTATGTTTTACATGTTCCTATTTTAGGGAAATCATCAAACAATCCTGGAGAACCAGGCGCCCCAGGACCTGCCGGTCCCGCTGGACCGGTGGGAAAACAGGGACCTATTGGAATGGAAGGACCGTTTGGTCCTCCTGGTGATCCAGGTCAGTTCATGAATCAAAATAAAAGCACTAGTATTGCACAAACTGTAGAGCAAACGAGCTACACTACACGCGATTGCGGTGCAAAATGGGAGTTGTATTAACAACACGACAAATGCGAATCCAATTTCTATTTTTTCATTTTTTTGTGATTATTATACGCGAATTTTTTGAAGGAATGCCGGCTTCATATTGCCCATCGGACTGCGGAGTTCAAAATATACTGGCTGATGTGGTATCGTCAGCTGCTGTAGCTAAAAAAATGAGTGAGTATGTACCACCACCTGGTGAACCAGCTACAGATGAAGTTGCTACTTCTCCTCCTAAGTAAGTCTATAAGAAGTTCTCTCTACAGTCATTTGACTACTCTTTTTTTAGAGTACAGTACGCTCCCATAAAAGACGATGGATATGGTAGTCGCCGATTCCACGACTTCACAACATACGAACGGAAAATGAGGAAGAATATGATCAAAAAGCTGATGAGGATGAAAACGAGACGACTTTAAGCTCTGAACTTCAATGCCTTCGAATAGCAATCCTTTCCTTCTTAGGTTTTCAAAATAAGGCGATTTTTCACTATTTTTAGCAGAATAAATAGTTGTACTAGATTGCAGGGGCTGAAACAGCTTACGACTAAGTGCAGTTTGACGCTTGAGTTTGAGTAAAAAACGCGTTTGAAGGAAAGCTGGATGAAGGCAGTTGGCACGATAATTTGGTAATACGCCTAAAATGATAGCAAGGCGCTACATATATAGTGGGGAAAATAGGCGAAAAAAGGGGTGAAACGGTCGAAATCCTGCGAAGAACAACCCTTCGTTCTCAATGACTCAAAAATAAATTTCGGACGAGTTTCCCCATAGGTATCTTGCCAATAACCGCAACCGAAGATACAGCTGCATGTGTGTACTCATATACCCATGCATCACCGCCTCCGCTTCATACCAGTCTCTTCGCTTCATAATTTGCTTAGCAAATGATTCAATACGAGCCTCAGGAACGGTCGTCCATTTGTGGGCGGGCGGATGTGGCGGGCGTTCGGGTGGTATGTTGTAGCTCGATAGGGCCCTTATAAGGCCCTTCCTTGGAGAGGGCGATGCCTTTAGGGATTTATTGTGCCAACTGTCTTACAGGGTGAAAATTTTTATTCTATCTTTGCAAGCGCAAAAGTCCCAGCAAGGAATGAGGAACTTTATTTAAGACAAAGGGCGAGGACACCTAGGGCCGACCGGTGTTTTGGGCCCGTGTCTGATAAGCCTGCGTTCGGCTACCATTACGACAACTGAATCAGCGCTCCATTGCCCTGCACTCGACTGCAGAAATAATAGTGCTATACTACTCACTGCTTATCAGAATTTTGGATCTGGCACGCCCGATTACAAGCCATTGCTATCGGTACTTGGCCTAAAATGCTAGCAGGGCCCTATGTAGTGGGGAAATAGCGAAAAGCGAAGTGAAATGGTCAAAAACTAGCGACGAAGGACTTTCGTTCTTAATGACTTGAAAAGCAATTTCAAACGGGTCTGCCGTAGGCACCTTACCAGTAACCGCTACGGTAAATACGGCTGCACGTCTTTACTCACATACCCATGCAGCACCGCATCCGCTTCTCACCAATCCCTTCGCTCACTCCACAAGCGAGGCAATACGAGCATCAGGTGTTGGTCGTCCATTTGTGGGCGGGCAGGCGCGTGGGCGTTCGGATCGGTACGTTGTAGCTTGATAGGGCCTTAGAAAGGTACCTTCCTTGAAAAAGGCTCTACGCGGCGCCTAAAGGCACCTTCCTTGAATAAAGCGCTAGGCAGCGCCTGCTCACGGTCGCGTAGTTCCGTCCTGCCAAAAGCATTAATCCTACTCGTCTGCCATTTATCATGCCAACTGCCCTTAATAATTGCCCTGCTGGGAGGAGTCTAGAGTTTTGGAAAAACAGTAATCATTCTTTTTTCTCCATACAACCTTTTCCATCGTTGTAATGCTAGAGGAAGCTCCCATCGCTCTCTGGAACGCTGTAGATTTTCTCGGTAGGTTCTTGTACTGGGAAGATAAGTGGTGCACCATTTATTAGGGGCCTTCATGAAGGAGCTCAACTATTGGGTCGATTGATGGCCGTCCAGTTGTTCATTTCTTATTCCGTGGAATCCTTCTGGTCCAGCAATCATAATCAAGTCGCATTGTGTAGCCTATACATGTTGCCTTCGATGTCTCGGCGAAAGCGGCTGTGCCCCTTGTCTTCAGTTGTTGACGGACCGCACTCCTCCCAACAAACTCCTTCAATGGCGGAAAACTTGCACGAGCATTGCTCTGCCCCTTTGAAGAACGCCGATCGTATTTTCATGCTTCTTGTGAAGACTCTAGGTATTAGATGGTTGGCGTAAAGACAGACTTCACGAGAAGCCGTCGGAACGTTCGTAGGTAATGAAGTTGAACACCTTCCTGTTGGTCGCTTGTATCAGGCAGCAGAAAGTGAATAGTATCTAAAGGCACAATCCGTGATTGTATAAGAAAAGGAGTTTTTTCATGTGTTGGTGTAAAAGGGGGAAAGCAGACAGAAGTGCAGTACGAGATCTGTCTCGGCAAAATCGTGCCGTTCTCGCCACTTGGGTGCCTAGGCGGGAGTTAGGGGGTTCCTGGTTGTTCGATGCGCACACTGTTGTTGGGAAATTTTGCATCTCATTCAAGGAGAGAATTTCATATCAGGTCATCGCATGATATGACTTGATCTAACGGATTGAGGGCATGGAGTAAGAGTCCTCGAAAAGTGTAAGGGAGAAGGATGAAAAAGCTTTCCTAGAAGAGATCTTGTGGTGGAAGAGTTGATGGAAGAATGAGATTGAAAAAGGAGAAAATACCCTGATTGATGTTTATGGACGGATTAAAATGAAAGCATTTCCTTCAAAATTTGCAATCCACCGTGGTATCCCATGAAAAATGGTACAATGTGCCCGTTTCACAAAAAGGTCAGGAAAACCGTGCTCCCGAAGTTGAGGATGACTCTCTAAACTTGTTTGATTGATTGTGAGCTCCCAACCGTAGGCGGTTGCAAGTCTAGACAGGGAGGTATGTAGATTACCTCCTGCCGCGAGAGGCAAATTTTTTGGAAATAAGATTTTTCATCGAAGCGACACCAGCGAACACGACCCTTCTCTCAGTGGGAGTTCTTCCCAACGGTTGTAGATGAGCCGGCACTTGAAACAGGAAATATCAACGTCAAAAACATAGTTTTTGGGCCGAGTACGATCTACTCCTGGAGATTCCCTAATGAACAACGTGGCCCTTGAAGTAGGATGAAGCCGACATTTTCTTGGTGCGTCTGCTCTCTCTTTGCTCATGCTTTCTAGCTTCTAGCCTGAACGTCGTTAATCTGACCACTGCTATGCGTGCTGGTGACCAGGTCCGTGGGCAATGCCCGTTCCCAGCACTCAAACTATAAAATCTATACTGCTGAGCAGAATCCCAGAAATGGTGCTGTTCCCAAGGAAGAAAGGTGGAATCCCGAATAAAACCGCTTCAGAAACAAAGACGCTAGCCGTTATTCAGCAATAGGAGTTCAAAAGCGAATATAGCTGCAGTCTGACAACTCCAAACAAGTTATCGCCAATGTTCTCAATTAAGTCCTGGGAGGCAGGGCGGTGAGCTCACTCGCGGGTTTTCGACAGATCACTATTGTAGACACGATCCATGCCCCCTAGACACAGTCCCTTTTGTTTGTGACGAGGTGAACTATATGTGCCTACGGGATGTTGCCATATCAATACGACCCCCCTCAAATTTGGTCTCAGATGATACCCTCTCAATATCTTTGAACATTTCTTGGCAGTCCGTACATGTTCATAGCGTCGCTAACTCCTCAAGCATTTCAGATCCGCCTCCTTATTTTGCAACTGGGGCACTGAGCCCGTTGAACTGGCGAGTCTGTGTAAAACATTTTTTACTGCGAACTCTCCATGTGCTCCTGGAAAGCCAGTGTACTGACCTGAGTCTGAGCTCATGTCAGCCCTCCCCCCTTGATATTTCTCCAGCAGAAGAATGTGCTCTGGCACCCAAGACTCACCATTCTCACATAATGAGGTCTTTTCAGAGTGCAGAAACTGTCGTTGCAAAATACATGTAGCTCAACAAAAAAGTGAAACAGGTGTCACATCTGCTGACAGCTATTCAATAGGACTGCTATCGATTAAATTTCTGCGGCAGCGAGCAACAACATCTGGTAAATAAGGTCACTTTTCCTGAGTGTCTTTGCAGGAACAATCGCAGTAAGCCACCTCAAACCTTCACTAGCTCCGCGTTTATCGAATAAAATTGCGATGATATCGAGGCGGCAGCTGTCAAATGCCAAAAATCGTTTTCAGGGCAGCCTTGTGTTTTGTGAGAGGATTTCAAATTATTAGGTTAAATTCCACTAGAAGATAAAAAGGAGGAAGACTCGTTTATTGCACAATACTTCCCCGATCTGCTTAAGCTCTATGTAGTAGTAGAGGACGTGTTGGGACACGCCAGTGAACAACGAAAGTCAAAGATGTACTTTTCGTCACCCCGCGTGGATACTTTCGGGATAACTCAGTCGGTAAATTCCTATTTTTTCCTATGGCGAGCCGGTGTGCTGATCCACTCCAGTCAACTGTTTTGCGTTTTTGTACCGATCAGTAAGGCAGAAAATAAGGCGAAATATTCACGACACTTCTAGCGGTGGGATGAACGGGTGATCCTTCATTCACGGCCATAGTCTTTTCGTTCGCGTTCCTATGCCGCAGCGCTAGAACCACTAGGAGAAGGTCAGCCACTAGTAGGGTGGTAATTCTTTGAGCGTTGAGCATTGAATGAACTTTCGCTAGGACGAAAAGGCCGCAGCTTTATCGGCAAACAACTTTGTTGTACGCAGCGCGATAATGGGACGACATTGGATAATTCCGAGACCTGCGGAGGAAGGGCCCAAATTGAAAGCGCTTTCGGTGTGAGCAATTTCGCTTCAGAGTCGGATGAAAAGCCCATTTACGGCATGCAGACTGCTGGACCTATACATATGATGAAAAATCCCAAAAATATGGACCTATTGCTTCCCTTCCAGAATGCTCGTTCAGTTTGTAAGCTGATTTTTCAGAGTCCCAATTCTATATCTCTGAGATGGGAAAGCGTAGCAAGTCTCCCGTCAGATCTACCAGCCGCATTGGGGTTTTATCCGCTCGTCGTGGCCATTAGGCCTATTTTAGCATTCTAAAGGGCCTTTAATTATTCTCTACGAGTTCCTTGTTCGACGGTGTCCTGCATTATGTTTCCGGTTTCTTGTTTTGCGAATATTTCAACACCTGTGAGTTTTGCATTTAGGAAGTTGCTAAGCCCAATATCATCCCTTGAAAAGCAGCGATTCAGAGGCTCAGTTGATCAAATCGACACTGAGAGGATCGAAGTAACCCTAAAATAAAGGATAAAGGCTCAAAATCAATCCCTTTGTGGCATGCGTCATGCATTCTCTTCATTCAGAATTCTAGTTCTCATTGAATACATGTGTCTG